ATATTTCATAGATCCGGAGTCCAATTAAGTAAACTGCGCGAACGCGAGCCGTTCTTTTCGAGGCACGCAATAACAGCTTCAATTAGCTTAGATTTTTAAACTCTTTAAACTATCTTTCAAACTATAGTTATTATTACTATAGTTATTATAACTATAGATATAATTCAAAGATCACACATTATCTATCTAAATTACCGCATTGGTTAATTTTATCGAATTGTGTTTTCTTGATGACACTTTGCTTATTTTAATTTTATTAAAAATCCAAAGATAATTATAAATAGTAATTGAAATCAAAATCTCATTAAATATCACGAAAATGCAAATTTTGTAAATACAATAACAAATAAGATAAAACATTTATAACATTTATAATTCAAAATCCAAATGAAAAAATTTTAGAGAGAGAGTACTAGATAATTAAATAGATAATTATTTATACAACACAATATATATGTATCTTAAATAATTTGCCTCTATAGTCAAATTAATATAAACACCCTATTGGATATTTAAAAGCTCCAAATTTGAATTCTAATTAAGATAATATTTTTTATGATAATAAAGTCTTATAAAGGAAAGGAGGTTAATCGTTAATTATCGATTTAATTATTGAGAAAGAGCAAGATTTAGAACTTTAGCTCCAGTTATTATGGTTTGGTTAAAAATAATTGCATATAGTTGATGACATGAGTAATTATTATGAATTTATAAATTTAATAAATTGAATTTATAAATTAAATAATATAAATTTAAAAATGAAAAGATTATATTAATCACCATAAAATTTTGCCAAGGTTCTGTCTTAGCAAGTATCGTTGACATTCAATTTTTGCATAATCTTGAATAGTTTCTTATAAATTTTATCGAGATAGATATGTATTTGTAAAAATTAAGAAGAGTGACATTTGCAAATTCTGGTCTTCGATTTTAGAATTGCTGAAATGATTACGAAAGGTTAATAATCGCGTTAACAGCCAGCCAACGCGATTGAGAATACCTAAGAATACATCGCTTGAATGGAAGTCAGGCTCCCGATACAAGCCGTGGAGGGTTGCGGAGGGTGAAAGCTCAGTAGCAGCGAGCCTCCCTCCTTCCCTCCGTTTCGCGTGCATGGATCCTCTTCGCGTCCTCCCTCCGTTCACCCTTCGCCGTCAAGCTATCTTCCTATTGGCAAAGTGACCTTCATCTGAATTTCTTTGTTGCGCCTACGCTCCAGAGGGTCGGATGGGGTGAGGAAATTTGCGACGTGATGGCGACGGGAGGGACGATGCCAGAAATGGCGGTCCTTTTACTTTTATCTTCGACAATTACACGAGAAATCAAGTTCTCGTGGAAGAACAAACGGCGACTTTAGGTGAATCACAGGTACAGGATGGGATTATTGCCAATTTTAGGGCAACAGCTGATTCAGCAAATTAAATTATAATTAAATAATTAAATGATCTTTCTGTTCAAAGAGTAATTTATTTTCCTGCGACATATTCATTTTCTATATCTCTTTTTTATATATCATCAAGTATTATTACTAAAGTTTTGCCTGACTCCAGATTATAAGGCTTGCAACAGGTGGCAAAATAATTATCATTACTGAAAGCCCACGGGATGTTTGGAGAAAACGCTCTTTGTATGGAAAGTTTGCAAGTACCTCATATTTAATTGAAATATTCCTTAGCTCGAAAACAATTACAGAACTATTAATTATAGAACTTCCCGAAAGTGATAAAGCTTGCGCAATTTATGTTGAAAAGAAGAGAGATTTATGTCCTGATTATGTCGTTTTTCTTGAATTATAAAGGAAGGCGCTGAGGAAAGGATAAAGGATAAAGGAAGTGACATTAGCTTTCATAAAACGATTAATCTTTCTGCCATTTAGCTAGTTTCTTAAGCTAGTTTTTGTTAAAAAAAATTTGCAGGAGAATATGAATAGATAGAGCTTGCAACTTTTTATTAAGATAAATGAATACGTTAACGAACGAGTTATACAAGATATTAGATAACAATACATAACCAGATTAAGCTCGAGAATATTTCTTTTATACTGTAAGTTTTTAATGATGGAGAAAAATATGATAAATGTATTTGGTTCTTTATTATTTCGACTATTTGAAAAATTAAATAAAGATAAAAATTTTTTTATATATTTTTAAATTACATGTAGCAAATAGTGCAAATAGTTGCAAATAGTGCTTTTACAAAAAATTATTATGAGAACATAAAAAAGTTTATTTTATTATTTTATTAACTTTATTATTAAAATGCATTTTTTGCACAAAACTAAAAAGTAAATTTTTATAATAAATTAATACTTGATAATTTATAATGGCAAAAGTAATATTTTACTTAACAGGATTTTTGTATAAGGTAATAATGTAAGATAAAGACGTAACAAATTTATTCTTTCATGCATATATTTTTTATTATTTCTTGCACATCTTTACTACTTTATACATAATATTTTATAACATAATTTGTAGAATTACAATATTTTTGTAGCATCATTTTAATTTTTGTCGCGTCAAATATCTATATAACATTACATATATCTTTTAAATAAATTATTGTTAACAAATAAGACATTCTTTAATAAAAGTTTAAGACTTTGTAATTATTGTTTCTAAAAAAGAATAGGAGTTTCAAAGAATATCGATATGTTCGGGATTTATAGATTCCATAATTTTCTGACTTCAAAATGCAATTTTCTGTTTTTTTAGATTCAGAAATTATTGTATATTCTTAAAGCCATAAATATTTAGAATTTTTCGTCTTTTAAGATACTGTAAAATATTTGAATTTTCAACTTATCTCTTCTTTTTGCTTTACACTTAAAAATTTTTAAATGCGTATTTCTAAAATTTCTCAGTTGTATGCAGTCTAGTTTTGATTTTTATTCAAATTATCAGATTCCAGGAAAAAATAGAATATGTATGTATATATATATATATATATACATACATACGTACACATAAACACATAAACGCGGAAATCACAACGAATCGAGAAAA